TGGGCGTGGGATGGGATGGGGTGGGGTAGGGGGATAGTGGAACTTGGGTATCAAACCCAGATCATCAAGCAAGTGATTTGGCTGAGTCCTTTATAAAAGGAGAGAAAGAGAGACAGAGACAGAGAATATATACATGAGTTGCAGAAAAACAAATTGGGTTAAAGGAAAACTCAGAAAATAAAGATGCATGTTAGAATTTTATCAACACAGAGTCTGGTGTGTTTAGTTTATGCACCATGGTGTACTAAACCCCACAGAGAAATTCTACTCATGCTTGATACATGACAGGTGATGCTGGTCCCACTCTCATCCCTGGGGAAGCTGTGATCCAGACTCTAGTGCTGGAAGAGAGCCACATTCACAGAGGAAACAGCAGCTCAGTGTGTCTTTCTCCCACTCCCCACTGTAGTGCCAATCTCTCCTCTGGTGCCTTTCACCATCAACTTCACCATCACTAACCTCAAGTATGAGGACAGCATGCGTCACCCTGGGTCCTGGAAGTTCAATTCCACTGAGAGAATCCTACAGAGACTGGTAAGAGCTCTGTTCAGTACATGTGGAATTTCCCACATATGTAAGACATGCCTATGAATTAGACCATACTCTGCAAGAAGGCCACACCAACCTCAACCTTGTTCCATAGATCCCAGCTTTGCTCACAGATACTAGCTCTATACATCTCAGAAAACAGCTTGTATTCTCTTAGTTCTTGTATTCACAGCCTTCTCCCCTTTCTCCACAGCTCTGGTCTTTGTTCAATAAGACGAGTATTAGCGTCCTGTATTCTGGCTGCAGACTGATCTCACTCAGGTGAGTCCTAATAAAAAGAAGGTAGAGATCCTGGATGTGTCCCAGGCCCAAAGTGTGCTGGGATTCCTGCCTTTTCTCCTGTCTGTGCATTACTGTGTGGAATTTAGGAAGCACTGGATCCAACATCCAAGATGTCCCCTCACCCTACAACTGCCACTTCAGTCACCCCCACAGCCTGCAGACCATCCACAGGTCGACGGCCTTTTCCTATTCATCCATTCTGAATTCCCACCTCCATCCCCTCATTGAGGAACAAAAGGAGCTTTAAATTCTACCCCCAGAATTTCTCTTGAGATACTGTTCTAGTTTCATTTCTGTCACTGTGATAAAACACCTCAACCAAAAGCAACTTAGAGGAGAAATGGTTTATTTTAGCTAAAACTTTGAAGTGATAGTTTGTAGCTACTTTCAGGCAAGTCCCAGCAGCTGATGATTGAGACAGACACACCACACCCACAATCGAGAATACAGAGAACTAAAGAGGAATGCTCTCTTGCCTGCACTCAGCTTAACTTCTCCACTCTTACACAGTTCAGGATCTGCTGCCTAGGGTATGGTGCTGACCACAAAGGGCTAGGTATTCCCACCTTAATTAGCTTCATTAAGACCAGCCCCCACAGACGTGACCACAGGTCAACCCAGTGGAGATACCGCCCCCCATTTAAACTTTCTTCCCGGGTGGTTCAGGTTAAAGCTAACCAGCACAGACATTAATGTCATTTCCCTTTGCTTTAATTCCCAAATCCTTATCTGTCTTAAATATGAACTCTCTATTCTTCACACCATCATAATGTAGATTAGTGTCACACATTTAAATAAAAAAAAATCTTTCCTCCATGTCTGCTCAGGCTCACAGGCTCCCGGAAGTCAATACACTCAGAGGCTCTAAGCCTGATGCATCACCTCTATACCAGTCATCCTATCTCCCCCTGGCTTCTTCCTCTCCTGCCCCCATCATCTTTAGATGCTTTCTAGGCAATCTCTATATCATCATTCTTCTTACCTATCCTTCTCAGGCCTGAGAAAGACAAAGCAGCCACAGGAGTAGATGCTATCTGTACTCACCATCCAGACCCCACTGGATCTGAGCTGGACAATGAGCAGGTGTACTGGGAACTGAGTGAGCTGACCAACGATATCAGTGAGCTGGGCCCTTACATCTTAGACCACAACAGCCTTTACATCAATGGTGAGCAGTGGCCAGACGTGCTCTATTACACAGCATTCATTCTCCCCTCTCAGTCTCTACTTCCTCACCCTACTCCATTCTCACTCTTACTATCTCTGCAGGTTATACACACCAGATCCTGTCCACCACATCCATGAGTAAGTATTGTGAGGCTCTGTAAGTATCTCCTATGCTGTAAGTCACAACCCCATGAAATAAAAACGAAAGCCCTACATTTCATTCCTGCAGCCCCTCTCCATCTACAGATGCATGGAAACGTATGCCCGTTTCCTAAGCCAGGCTAGGCATACAGCTTAGTAAAGTGCTTGCATCAGGCCTAGAGTTTGATCTCTAGCACCCATGTAAAAAGTCGGGTACAGTGGTGCACATTTGTAATCCTAGCTCTAGGAGGAGTAACCAGGAGGATCCTTGGAGTTTACTGGTCAGGCAACCTTATTGAATTGAGGATTCACAAGTCTTACAACCTGGCCTGGACAATGAGCAATTTAATGGGAACTGAGCAAGCTGACCAATGATATCACCCAGCTAGGCTCTTACACCTTGAGTTTAAAACACAAAGTAGAGGGTGCTTGAGGAAGAACAGTACCTGAGGGGCTGGAGAGATGACTCAGACAATAACAGTGCTAGCTGCTCTTCCAAAGGACCTGGGTTCTATTCTAGATACCCAAAGGATGGCTCACAACCATCTATAACTCCAGTTCTAGGGAGTCAGATACCCTTTTCCGGCCCCCCTGAGCACCAAGCATGCACATGGTGCATAGACATGATGCAGGCAAAACATCCCTACACATAAAATAAAACAATTTATAAAAAAGAATGACACCAGATGTTGTCCCCTGGCCTCCATATACATGTGCACATCTGCACATTATATATAGGAAGAAGTCTCAGGCATGTGCACTCCCCTCTGGTATCTTTAAAATGAAAGGATTTTCACTCTAAACACCAGGTATTTTTTAATCCTCAGCTTCTATGGTGACCACCATTTCTGGCAGAATGACAACCCCTGTCTCCAGTCCCACAGGTAGGAATTTTCTCTCTGAATATACTCCTATAACTGCAGCAGGCAAAAGGAAGAATGGAGCATATAGGACATCTCAGTTCCCTGAGAATTCCTTAAATGTCAGACCCAATAGGCCAAGACACTTTCTAAAATATATTCATGAAACCTTTAGACAGTCTGTAATCTTAAATCCTTTTCTAGCCCTTTGAAGAGGTCAAACCAGCAGGGCTGCTAGGTGAGAACTGAAGTGTACAGTGGCCTCTGTGTCAAAAACCAACTCAAGCACAGGAGTAGCTCAATAAAGCACTTGGTTTGTAACCAGAACCTGAATTAGAGTCCTCAAACTCATGTAAAGTTTCCAGATGTGGTAGGAAGCCCTTGAAGTTTCAGTACATGGAGGCAGAGATAGGCAGATCCCTGGGCCTCACTGGACAGCTGGTAAGCTCCAGGCCAATGCCGTCTCTATGCCAAAGGAAGTAGGTGTTCCTGAGGGTGGCAACCATGGTCATTCCTCTGGCCTTCACACATGCACACATATATGAACATGCACTATCATATATATATATATATATATATATATATATATATATATATACATACACATTCACATTAAGAAAAAAATCAGAATCTAATTGAATAGCACAGCCTCACATAGGCTGAGTGCATAGGAGGCATAGACTGCAATATATGTCCTATATTAACATTCAGTCCTGCCACTTACAGACTGTGACTTGGAAGCAAACCCTTCATAATTTGCTGGGGGGGTTCCATTTGTATTCCATTCCATGCTGCTTGCATTGCATTATAATACTTTGTTCAGTGCAAATAATCAGTCTAGTATAAGCAAAGAACTTCAAACTTGATCTGCTGCACATGGACAGGTGGGTAAGATGACTTAGGGAGCAAAGGCATTTGCTGCCAGATGGACTGATTTTTATTCCTGGGACCTACATGGTGAAAGGAGAGAACCAGTTCCTGAGCGTTTTCCTCTAGTCTTCACATCCATGCTTTGACATGCACACACTCAGTCATCGCTAAACAAACAAACAAATAAATTCTGGCACAGTCTCTATTGAAGAAATGTTTTAAATTAATAAGTATGTAAATTTCAGAAAAGACTTGGCCTTAAAAAGGAACTTCAGAAAAGGAAGCAACCTATAGAGATTTTGCCAACTGGAAAGACAGATATATTTTCTTTTTGTTTCACGGTAAAGTCACCCACACACATCAATCCTTTGTAATTTAGTTGAAGTTTGGGTGAGGTCTCGTTTCCAAGGAAACTGTTTCCTAGAGGAAGATTCTCCTCAGTGCAAGACTATGCATGCAGCTGTTTCCCCAAGCTCAAGTTCAGAGAAAAACAATAGCTTAGTGTTTGTCTTTCTCCCGCCCCCTCTGCAGCAGCAGGCCCTGTCCAGTTGCTTTTCAGCATCAACTTCACCATCATTAACCTGGAGTTTGAGGAGGACATGAGTCACCCTGGATCCAGGAAGTTCAATATCACTGAGAGAACCCTGCAGAGCCTGGTGAGAGTCCTGTTCATTGCATCCAGCCCCCGCTACTGGCCATGCCATGCCTCTGGAAGAAGCCACTGCCCACCTCATCCTGACTACACATGTCCAAATTTGACTTACCATTGCCGGCTTTGTGCATCTCACTCCTGTCCTGTCTCTATCCCTCATTCCTCCTCATCATCCCTCTCCTCTTTCTCCACAGCTCAGGCCCTTGTTCAAAAAAATCAGTGTTGGTCCATTGTATTCTGGCTGCAGACTGACCTTGCTCAGGTGAGTCCTTAGAATAGCAAGCTAGAGTTGCTTAAAGTGCTCTCAGTCCAAAGATTGTGTTCAAATTTCTCCCTGCATTTCTTCTGAATGTCTCATGCACAGGTGAATTCAGGAGGTACCATATCTAGTACCAAAATCTCTCCTGATCTTACTACTTCTCCCACAATCCTTAAACAAATTGGAACCTCCTTCTGCTCATCCATTTTGAATTTTCTCCTGCCCCCCCCCCCATTTAGGAATAAATGAACATTTCCTATGAAGTTTAAAGTTGGTCCACATGATTTCTCTTAAGACAAATATGCCCTTTCTGCTCACCAGTTTTGGCCTTTGGTGACTCAATTATTATTCTTCAAATGTCTCGTTTACGACCTCTCCTTTTCCCATAACATACACTTGCTTATTTGATTGTTATAACTGATAAAAATTCTGGACCCACTGTCTGCTCAGAGTTACATGTTACTGGAGGTCAACATGATAGAAAATCTACAACTGACTTTGTAAGTCTCTGTCAGATAGTTCTGCTCCTCCGAACCCTTCAGGTGCTGTTCCAGGTGTCCTAGGATCCCTCCTTAGGCAATCAATTTATCATCATTCTCTTCATCTGTCCTTCCCAGGTCTGAGAACAATGGAGCAGCAACAGGGGTGGATGCCGCCTGTACCTACCACCTAGACTCTGCTGGCCACAGGCTGGAAAATGAGCAGATATACAGGGAGCTGAGCAGTCTGACCAAGGGGGTCACCGAACTAGGCCCATACATCCTGGACCAGCACAGTCTCTATGTCAATGGTGAGCAGCAGCCACCTGTGTTTTGCTGTATTGCAGAGCCCATACCCTCCCTTCCTAGGCCTTCTTTCCTTCAATTCTACTACATTTTAAAACTCCTGTTATCTATGTAGGTTACACCCACCAGATCCTGACTACCACCCCCAGAAGTGAGTATTCTAAGTTTTCTTAATTTTCTGCCACATCTATCACTACACCCAGCCCTTTGAAATGAAAGAAAGCAATAGTCTGTTGTCTCCATTTCACTTTTCACCCAACCACCAGCCTGTGAGGTGTATCACATAAAACCCTAGCATAACTCAGACTGGGATACCCATCCTGGTGTCTCTATATAGATTATGTCTCTACTCCAAATGGATGTCTTTTTCCCCCACAGTGTCTATGGTGAACATTGTTTCTTCAAGTATGCCAGCTCCCATCTCCAACCTCACAGGTAAAATTATCTCTGAAAATGCTTCCAGTGAATTCTATAGTCAGGATAAAGGGTGGAGTAGTATGTGTAAGAGGATCCTAAGGTTGACCCTTGATGAATGACAGAGGGTCCTCAAAGGTCTGAGAATTCTCAGAATACTATTTCTCATCCCAGTCTCCAGCCTCCAAAGCTATTCTCTGATGTCTGTTTCTTAAAGTAGGTGTCTATTGACTTCTAAATCTTTCTCAAGCTCTTAAAAGAATATTAACCAGCAGACCAGTTAGCCAAGAACAAATTTGTGAAGGAAGCAATGTATAAAAACACCAACTCATGATTTTATTAGCCCCCTAATTTGACCCACTTGACCAAATGACCAAGAAGTCTGAGTGTGTGTGTGTGTGTGTGTGTGTGTGTGTGTGTGTGTGTGTGTCTATGCATAAATGCTTGTGTGTGCTTACACTTGTGGAAGCCAGAGGTGAGTCTCTGCTTTTTTCTTCAGGTATCATCTTGCAAATATAGAGCTGAAGGGTGGCTCAATGAGTAAAATATTTCTCACTTCAGCATGAGGACCAGAGTTTGGGTTCCCAGAACCCACATGAAATCTGGATGAGCATAGCAACTTGCCTGTAGTCCCAAACCACAAGAGGCAAAGACAGGGAATCTCTGAATAAACTGTATAGCCAGACTAGCAGAAAGGACAAGCTCTGGGTTCCCTCTGAGAGATCTTGCCTCAATATATAAGATAGACTATGATTGGAGAAGACACCTGACATCAACCTTGGCTCTCATACACTTGTACATGCACCTGCACACACATGCCCCACATATGCAAACAGAATACAGATATGCACACCACACACATACACATAAACATATGCCAAAACAGATAAATTTTATGGCTCTATAAGTGCTTTCTTCTTATCGGAGGTCTCTGACCCAAGGCCTTACTCTGGGCTAACAATTGATCCTGCTTGGAGAAATTAACCCTGTACCCTAGTCATCCAAGGTCTCCTCCTCTGAAGCACATGCCCCATTGAGCAAACGTGGTAGTGGTACACGGATAAAACTATGTACAGCTCCTATGTTGTAGCATGAAGGGAATCAACAGAAAAAGAAGATAAATAATGCAAAGCAGTGATAGAGGCATATACGATCTACCAGAAGCCACACAACTGAAGAGTATGTCTTTACCACCACCCCCAGAAGTCATTACCTGCTAATAGCTCCCCAGAAATGAATGGACTAGATGAGCTCCTCCTTCATTCGTGTTATAACTTCACTAGGCCCACTCTTTATAGGTAAGAGCAGCTGTGAGTTAGGTACAGCAGCCATGTGGTATCCTGAAGACAATATCCCACAGGCCTCTTCCCCATCCTTCTCTTACCTTCTTTCCTCCCCCTCTTCTATGATACTACCTGAGCTTTGCAGGGGATGATATAGATGTTCTCTTTGTATCCAAGCACTGAACAGTTAGTTATTCTCAGCACTTTGACTACTTAAGAGTCCTTGCAGTAACTGCTGTCTGTTGCAAAATATGGTATCTTACCAAGGCTAAAAAAGCACATTGCTATTGATATTTTAATTGCCATCAATGTTTAATTACTATTGTTCCTATCATTCAAAAGAAGTTTTTCTTTCATTCTGATAGAGACACCTTGAACTGTTGCCCTAGGCATGAATACATGGGTCCAAGTGATATGAATATAGATTATGTCCTAAATCTAGTTCTGGTATGACTCAGAACTTCTCTCCTAATCTAATTGCAGCTTCAAGCTCTGCTCTGCTGCTGTATACTCTTAACTTCACCATCACCAACCTACCCTACACGAAAGACATGTGGGGCCCAGGATATGCCAAGTTCAACAAAATGGAGAAAATCTTGCAGCTTCTGGTAAGACTCCTACTCACCCCCCTTGCCTCAGCTACTCCATCACCTTTAGTCTTGCTTGCTCACTCCAGCCATCCCTGCCACCTGCTTGTCCTATTCACTCACTAAAGCCTCATTCACTTCTCTTTCTTGTTTTAATTACCATCAGCCATATACATCCCTTGTGTTACACTCATTGGTGTTCTGTCTACCTTTTGCCTCACCTACTTAAGGCCCACCTGTTCCCTCCAGTCACACCCTTCTCTCTTGCCTGGCTCACTGGTACCCCAAAATCACCCACTTCAGTCCTGCCTTCTTGCCCCACTCACTGATGCCTCTTTTACCTCTTCCAGCATAATCCTCCTGTCTCTAGTTCCAGCCACTGATGATTGGTCCACACACTCCATCCATATCCATGTCCCTCTATTACTGCAGTGGGCGGCAAGAATGTATTATAGAGATTCAGCTGTATATAATAAGCTATACCTTAACCGACCAAGAAGTCATTCAAGAGGAAGCCATCTATCAAGGAATACTTGGTGTTATTTAGATTAGATTTTAATATATATCATCTATCTTCTGTTATGAAATTCTGTGTGCCCATACATTACTAGGCCATATATCAAACAATTTAGCTTCTTAGATCTACTGCTGAACCACTAGGTAACACCCCTGCAGGGCCTAGGAGACAGGAGGGTATGTAGATGCAGAGCTTTGTTTCTTGTGCAAATGAAGCTCAGACCATCCCTTGCCTTCAGGCCTATTAGCATTGCAGAGCTATTGACTCAGGACAATAGGGCTTTTTGCATAACCAGGTGCAGTAAAGACAGGGGCAGGATTCCTGGTCCAGGCTGAGCCTTATGGCCTGAAAGAAGAAGGCAGAGTTTCTGTAGCTGGTAAGGCAGAATGGCTCAGGCTGAGGAGAGAGGAGCAAGGAAGAGTTTTGGGGTTTTTTGTTGTTTTTTGTCTGTTTGTTTGTTTTTGTTTTTTGTTTTTGTAGGTAAATCATGTCAGGAGAGAAGAAGAGGGAGGAAAGATGGAAGATGAAGGAACAGGAGGCAAAGATGAGATCAAAGCATAAGGTCTTAGTTATTACCAGGGCTATGAGGGGACAGAAAAAGTAGGTACAGAGAGGAACTGGATGTGAGGACAGAACTGAAGCTGTATAGATAGAAGTTTGTTATAGAGAAATAAAGTAAACAGACAAAAGAGCAAGGTATATATAGATTTCTTTCCACCGGATAGTCCCACGCCAGATGTAGTGTTCTTCCCCAGGACCCTGGGAGGAATTTTCTCAGGTTAGGCCCCTGGGAAAATTCCATTATGTTACTTCACCAACTAATGCTCCCTCAGCTTACTTTTATAATACTCATTGATTCTCTACCCGCATTTCCCAGCCTTATTAACATCTTCTTGACCTGCCTACAGATTATCCCCAGGTACCATCCACTTGCCCATTCACTAAAGCCCCACCCACCTCTCTATCTTGCCCTACCATTTGTTTCCACCCATATTTCTCCTCTGACCCTCCATGGTGCCCTGCCTACCCCTTCAGCCCAACCTACTTCTCTTGACTTTTCCTCTGGTGACCTGCCTACTTCCCATACCCTATCCACTGTTGCCCCATCTACCCAATCCTACCATACTCCCTTCTGTTTTCCTTATCCATTCACTAAGTTCCCACCCACAACCCCCTCTTGCCACACCTTTTGATATTCACTTGTTCTGGTGCCCACCCATCCCTCTCCTACCACACCCACTTTTTGCTTGCCCGTGAATTCAAGACTTGCTCATTTCCCTTTCCCCACCCTTCACTAAAGCCCCACTAAGACCCCCATCTTGCCACACTTACTGGTACCTACCACATCTGTCTTGCTTTGCCCAACCCACATTTTTCAGCGTTGATCACCTCTTGCTTCACCAACTTATAGCCCACCCTCTCTATCCCTGCCTACCTTCTTGCCTTTATCATTGGTGACATACCCACATCCCTTGCACTACCCATGGTTGTCATACCCACTTGCTCCAGCTATACCAATGTCTTGATTCCCAATCTATTCACTAAAGCCCCTCCCTCCATGTAACACTGCCTACTTCCCCTCTTGTCCTTCATTCTGGTATCTGCCCACATCTCTCATATCACATCAGTACTGGGCCCACCTATCCCAAACTTTCCTACTTTTTTCTTGCTACACCCACTAGTATCCTTTCCACCCCTCTTATCCCCACTCATTCCCTTCTTGTGACAGTCACTGAGAGCCTACCAACTCACTCTAGACCTGTCTACCTTCCACTTGTCCAACCTTCCCACTAAACTCTGCTTACTTACCTTTATTGCCCTGTCACTGGTCCACATCCACACATTTTTTTCACACTCATGAGTACCCTTGCTACAGATTCTAACTGGTTTACATCTCCACTGTCTCTCTCACCCATCCAGTCTCAGCCATATCCTCACTTGCCACACCCACTGTTTCCCCAACCCACTCCTGCTAGCATCACACTTCTCTCTTGACCTCTTCCCTGTTTCCCTACTCAGACTATATATTTAACTGAACCCTCTCTCTTCTTCACAGCTCAGACCTTTGTTCCAAAACACCAGTATTGGCCTACTGTATTCTGGTTGCAGACTGACCTCACTCAGGTGAGACCTATAGGGAAGACCACCCAGGAAGGCATGGTGGAGTTTCTATACATACTTCTCTATAGCTAGGTCTTCCTTTTGGTCTCAGTCTTTTTGCAGTCCCTGGGTTAGGCTAGATTCTATACTTTCTCATTCTTCTTAACTTCAATATTCCATGTAGTATGTATTAGTTTCTGTCACAGAAACAAAAAACAAAACCCAAACTAAACAAAACAAAAATCTCTGAAATAATCAACTTACAAAGAGAAAATGCTTTTCGTTTGTTTGATTTTTGTTGTTGTTGTCTTTTAAACAGCCAGACTTGCAAAAATTCAGTATGTATCTGAGCAAGAAATTGAACTTATGATTTTCTTGTCTTCACCTCAAGTGCTGGGATTACTGGTGTATACTACCAGGAGCAGTGTTTATGGTGATAGAATAATGGTATTCAGAATCTCATGAACACTACATCAGCACACTACCAACTGAGCTACATCACAAACCTAAGAGACAAGTTTAATTTTGATCAAGGTTTTAGAGGCACATCTATCCACAATCAGATGGATCATTGCTTTTGGTTTGTAGAGGGGCAGTAGAGCTAAATTGACTGTGTCCAGACAAAAAGAAAGATTGAGGAAGAGGAACAAGCGGGAATTCTATGGTTTCCTTGAGTACACACCCCACAGTGATCTAAAAACCTCTCATTCAGTGTCAACAATCCCCCACTTCCCAATAGCTCCACCCTAGGGATCATGCCTGTTTTGGGGGGTATGTGGATAACTTCTTTAGAAGTTTTTCTTTTGTAACATTAGAACTGGTTTTGAAAGTTGATACTGCTTAATGTGGTTTAATGCTTTCCTTTCTCCATCTATTGTCATTGGGTTTAGTAGATTGGACTCTAACCACCATCAACTAGCAATAGTGCTCCCACTAATAATGGTTCCTTATGAGCTCCTCTCCATCCATACTAAAGTTGTGACTGTCTTGATCTTATGCAGATTAAAAAAAATTGATAATATCACTATGCCCATTTTGTAGATGGGAAACTGAAACCAAGAGAAAATATTGAAGAACTGGGAGATTAGGGAAGTATAGGAAATAAGAAGGAAATGAGAGATTGCATCTCATGCCTCAAGACAGGTATATGATGGCCAGGAAATCTAGAGAAAAAGAAAAGAAGGTATAGAAAGCCTAGAAAAGGGAAGAAGTACTCAGCTGCAAGTGAAAAGTAGAGAGGTAAGCCAAAACTGAACAGGCTATAGACAGATTAAGGATCATATGGAGACACAGGAGTCTTCTTTCATAGGCTTGTAGGTGTCCATGGAAGGATCCCAGCAGACATCTAACAAGATTTCCCTTTAGGAGGAGAATTGGTTTGCCACGATAATAATAGATCATAAGATACAGGGCACCACTGAATCTTGGGTTCAGGAAGTGAAAGTAGAGCCATTTTCACCACAGAATTGAGGCAGCCTGGTGGGTCCTGTTCACAAGCACCTCAAACATTCTAAAGTTTTCTACAGTTTTCTCATATTGCTGTCAGAGAACCTCATTCAATGCTCCCCATTATTTCCATTCCTGGATCCTTCCATCCAGTAGCTAAAACAGATGGAATAGCCACCAATTATGTATAGTTCCTCACCTTTCTATTGGTAATCTCATTTCCACAAGCCATTTCCTGTCATGTTCCCAGAATCACAGCATTCAGCATTAGTCAATCCACTTATTGCTGTCTTCTCTATCTGTCTTTCCAGGCCAAAGAAGAATGGAGAGGCTACCAAAGTAGACATGGTTTGCGCTTACCACCAATATTCCACAGGCACTGATCTGAACAGGGAGCAACTATACTCAGAACTAAAAGAGCTCACCCACAGCATCACTCAACTGGGTCACTATATCCTGGACCAGAATAGTCTCTATGTCAATGGTAAGTGTGGTCATCTTAACTTTGTTATAGCAAAGCCCATATTGTCCCCCTCTAAGAACATCCTTTATTCACTTTCCATGTACCAATCCTTATGCTCTTTCCTTTAATTTCACTTTGTAGGTTACACACACCAGATCGTAGTAACCAGCACCAGCAGTGAGTATTTAAAATCCTCCCACAGTACAGTTGGGAGAAGCATGAGGCCCTGACCATATATTTAGTTAAAGAGAAAAAGAAGTAGTCAAGTATACAGGCTAGGAAGTTCTTGAAATCATGTCACGGAGTTGAGTGCATCCTTTCATATTTTTTTGACAACAGAGAAACATTACTAAATTATAGTTGGATAAATGGGTGGAAGAAATTAGTGAACAATTTATAGAAATACAATGAGACTCTTGGATGAAGAGATTCCTTCTATACTTTGTAACTTCTCATTCTTTCTTGGAGGGGGGATATTGAGCTGTATGTGTATGCAATGTGTCTGCAATGATGCACTTGCACATATTTACATGCATATATAAGCCAATGATTGACCTGACATGTCTCCCTCTATCATTCTTCACCATATGTTTTTGTGGCAGGTCTTTCATTGAACCAGGAGTTCACATACCCAGTTAGGTTATCCAGCTATCAAACTCCAGGAATTCAAAATGTCTTCATCTCTCCAGTACTAAGATAACAAGTATAAGCCACCATGCCCCCCTTTTTTTATGTGTACATGGATACAGAGCTCATGGCCTCAGTACTAAGATAACAAGTATAAGCCACCATGCCCCCCTTTTTCAATGTGTACATGGATACAGAGCTCATGGCCCCATGCTTGCAGAATGAGCAGTCTTGCCCACTGAGCCATCTCCCACATTTTTCCCCTTGTCCCAAAGCACAGGATGGTCTAGCCTTGCCCAAAATTAGTGAGCCAAGGATACCCACTCACCACTGTAGTCTCCAATGAGATGTTGCCAGAGTCAGGACTGTGTCCTCAGGCTCTGCCTTCCCTGTGTTGATTACCAAAAAGCTTCTCTTCTCATTCTCCACCAACAGCTATGCAATCACCCTTGGTATTATTTACCCTCAACTTCACCATCACCAACCTATTTTATGAGGAGGACATGCAGCCCCCAGACTCCAAGAAGTTTAACACCACAGAGAGGATCCTGCAAAGCCTAGTAAGTCCCATGAATATTCTCCAGCCCTATTCACTTCATTCCAGCCCTGCATCCTCTTTATTCCCATCAACCTTTCTCTAGCACCCTTCCACAGTCTGCCTACCAAACTCCATCCCCTCACACCTCTCTCTAGAACTATCTTCTTTCTGGACCCACCTATCTTTCTCCCACCTCCTTCTGCATCCTTCCCACCAAACTCCAGCTCCAAACACCTCTGATCAGTCTATGTCATTTCAGCCTCACCTTCTCTATGATCCCACATATCCATCTTCAGCTCTGATTACCACATTCTAGTCTCGCTCCAGTTCTCCAGCTCTAGCACTCCTCTTTGGTCACTTCCACTGTGCTCAGCCATGTCTGCCATACTCCAGGCCTCTCCACCTATCTCCATATCCACACTCTCTCTAGCCCCACAACTCTCGCCCATGCCCACTTAACTTCAGTCCTTCTCATCCCACTAGTCATCTCATGTGGGTCCTACTTATGTCTACCAATACTCTGGATCACCAATGGATGATCACTTCACCAAAGAATAAGCCCTATCCTTTGGTCCACCATCCCATTGCCTTACCTTCTGCTTTATTTTTACAGCTTGAGTCCTTGTTCAGAAACACCAGCATAGGCCCTTTGTATGCTGGCTGCAGACTGACTTTGCTCAGGTAAGTTCTTAGAATGTCACCCCAGAGTTGTCCCTGTGCTCTCAGGCACACCAATGTGACCTACACCCCTCCTGCCTCTCTCTCAATAGCCCAGTACACGTGGGTATTCAGAAGGGGGCCCCAGTAAAATGTTTCTCTTGATATCACCATTTTCCCTTGCAACTGTTCCAAGCCCTTACAGAGTCTACCAGTAAAATAAGACACCAACTTTGAGTACACTTTCCATATTCTCTCCTTTTTCTCTCTTTCACAAGAAGACCCATTATCCCATACTTTCAATTCTATTTCTATGGTTTCCCTTAAAAAAATTGCATCTCTAACTTGCACATTCATGTTTATTGCTGTTCTATTCATTATAGCAAGAAAAGGGAACCAGCCCATATGTCCAACAACAGATGGATGGATAATGCAATGGTCATACATGCACGCACGCACGCGCACACACAGACACACATACACACACACACACACACACACACACACACACACACGCACTCAAATAAGTAAATAAAAATAAATCTGTAGTAAGGCAGTGGTGGTGCATGCCTTTAATTCCAGCACTCAGAAGGCAGAGCCAGGTGGACCTCTGTAAGTTCAAGGTCAGCCTTGTCTACATAGTGAATTCCAGAACAGCCAGGACTACACAGAGAAATCCTGTCTCAAAATAAAGTAAAATACCTTTAATATTTTAGTTAAAAGTTAAAGTAATAACAATAAATACAACAAAATATGAAAACAACAAATACAAATGTAGATCACCAGTTGCTTCATTTTCCTATCCAGACACCACCTATATTCAAAAATGAGCTAGGTCTCCTGACTACATAGTATGAGGATGAAAGTTTCAGTCTCAAAATTTGCTGACATTTGTCCTTCTCACCAACTTGTCTCAAAGAAGTAGTTAGGCCAGAAGACAGTGTACTCCAGAACTCATCTGATTTCTAATCTCCCTACAAAGCTTCCTGTTTTACTGGGGTCTTCTTATCCTGCCCCCAGAGAGTCTTAGAATTTCATGGGCCAGCTATATTTTTTAATTAAAAAATATTTCTATTAATTTTAATTATGTATATGTATGTGTGTCTGTTTGTGGGGATGTGCATGTGAGTGCCATGTGCCTGTAGAGGCCAAAAGAAGGTGATAGAAACTCTGGAACTGGAGTTACAGGGAGTAGATACGTGTGCTAGGAACTCAACTCAAGCAAGTCCTTAGCAAGCTCAGCAACCACTGAGGAATGACTTCAGCTCCCTACAAAAAAAATGGCTGAGTGGTGGTAGTGCATGCCTCTAATTCCTGCCAGGTCGGCCTGGTCTACTGAGTGAGTTCTAGGACAACCACGGGTACACAGAGAAACCCTGCCTCAAAAATAATAATTAATAATAATAATAATAAAGCTTACAAGGTAGCAGGCTTTCTTACAGCATTTTTATACATACTTAGTTTTGATTGACACTTCTCCTTTCTTCTCCCCCATCTCCCTTCCCATCTTGCTTAAACACTTCCACACCCACTCTTTCCCCCTCCACTTTCATATCACATGTAGCCTATTACCCCCCTCATCCCATTCACTTAAAGCCACTTGCTCCACCCTCTCATGGTTTCCTGGCTTCTACACAAACTCACTCTTACATAAATACGCATATATAAAAATTAGATGCTAGGATCAGAAATTTGAGACAGAACATATGCATGTATTTCTGAGCTTATGTCATATTACTTAATGTAATATTTTCCAATCTCATGTATTTGCATTCAAATTTTATTTTTCTTTATTGATGGATAAACCTTCATTGAAAATAGTTACCACACTTTCATTATTTATTCATTTGTTTGTGGCCATCCAGGTTAGTCCATTTCCTTGCTGTTGTAAATAGAGAAGTAATAAGCAGGATAGTCATTTAGCTATATGTTCAAGAGTTGTGATGCTTGGTCATGTGGAAGTTTTATTTTAACTTTTTGAGAAGCCCTTTTACACTGATTTCTATAGTGGTTATATGTAGCAGACGTTGTTGTGGGCCACCAACAAGCTCCCAAATCATGACATGAAAACTTATTATTAGTTATGAGTGCTTGGCCTTACCTTATGCTTGTCACAGTTGGCTCTTATAACTCATTTTAACCTGTTTCTCTTTATCTACATTTTGCCATGGGGATTTTTACCTTTCTTTCATTCTGTATTTCCTACTCTGTGTCCAGCTGCCTGGTGGCTGCCTGGTCCTTCTTTCTTCCTTGTTCTCTCCTCCCCGCAAGCCTAGACTCTCCCTCTGACATATTCTCTCTCCTTCCAGCCTTACCTAAACTTTTACTGCCTAGCTATTTGCCATTCAACTTTTTATTAGATCAATCAGGTGCCTTCCTTAGGCAGGCAAGGTGAAAGAGCAGCACATATTTACATCATTAAACAAATGAAGCATAAATAAATGTAACACATCCTAACATAGTTAAAGTAATATTCCATAACAGTTATACAAGTTTACACTACTTTTTCTTCATTCTCCTTGCTTGCCTTCCCTAGGCTCAAGGGGAAGTATTTCTATTGGATGTTAAATCTTTTTGCAGGTTAGAAAGAAAGATGTCTTCTGTACTAGCTTGAGTCCCCAATCCCAATTCTTCATCTGCCTCAATCATGTGCTCTTTTCTACCCCTGCCATGAACATTAGAGTTCGAGTCTTACCATTTCATAAGTATTCTTCACTTTTCTCACAGTCCCAAAGTATGATATCAATGTGTAAAAAGGATCAAGGTCTGGATTTTTTGAAATAAATAATTTTTATTTATTCTTTCTTCTTGGGGAAGTACATGTACATGATGAAATATACAGAGAGATATTTATATGTAGTATCATATTATACATGATGAACTATCATATCTACCTCCCATTTACCCCATTCAAGTCCTCCTTACTTCCCTTAACACATATCCCTGACAATTCCACCTCTTCTTTATTTGGATAACCTATTAAGTCCTATTAGTGTTGTTCATATGTGCATGGGTGAAAGGTCATCCACTGGAGCATTAGAAACCTACTGGTGCAAATTCCCTCAAAAAAAAAAAGGGGGGTTCTCAGCAATGTGTAACCAGTCACTTTCTGGTTGTATTTAAGGCCGTCTCTGCTGGAGGAAACTCATGCATGGTACTGTAAATCTGATCAAGTGCCCATGGTTGGTAGTTCATAGGCCCCAAGGTAACTTGCAACTATTATTTTGATGGATACACATGGAATCCAACTGTCCTCTAAATCCATATCTTTATATCCATGGATGAATTCAACCCTCAGATCTCACCAGAGAAGTTTCATTATGCAGTAGATGGCTGTTTATGCAGAACCTCACAACTGGCCAAAGCACTGAGAATAAGTGTCTGTGGAGTGCTCAGCCACAAATTGGCCGTCTATGTCACACTCCCTTCTCCCAAGGCTCAATGACCATTGTGGAAGAAGGGGCAGAAAAATTGTCAAAGCCAGATATCAGGCTTATAGATGTGACCAGAGTGTGGCACTCACAAACTCACAGTAGCTGTTATTACAAACCTATTAATATTCTTGCATGGAGTGGTAAGGGGTTAATGAGCCCCCCGACCCTAGTTGAGAAGCTATTGACTATCAATGGATTCTAGTGGAGGTCAGTTTTCTTCCATTTCTACCCAATACCCATGATTATATGAGCAGCATATATTGACCTCAGTGGGGCATAGAAAAAAGAGGATATGAAATTGGAAGAAGGCAGATGGAAGGGTAGATCTGGAAGAACTTGAAGGAAGAGTGGAAGATGTGAACAAAAAACATTGTATGCATGTATGAAATTCTCAAAGAAATAATAAAATAGTATGTATATAAAAAGGATTCTCTCTTACCCAGCATCTATCAACTGCTGATAGTTCCAGAGGAATGGGGTAAGACCCTCATATATTCTAGAAGTTTTGTTGACTTAATTCTTTTCTTGTGCAAGTAAACAGCTACCGTGAGTTCATGAGTATAGTAGCCATGTCATGTCCAGAAGATAGAATTTTACAGGGCTCGTCCTCAACTTCTTTGTTGAGGATGTTGTTACTTTCTTTCTGTCTCTACTTGTTCAGCGTTGTCCAGGCCTTGATTGTAAAAAGGAGATACTAAAAGTGTCTGGTTTAGGGGTGAATATTCATAATCTCTTAGTCTCTGCTAAGCCTGGACATCTGCCTGAGTACCAGACCTCTTATTCCTGATGGCCTCTTCCTATGTTCAACTCCAATAATTCTCAAGACCATTTATGATTATCATTTTTACTCTCTCCCCAGTCCCAGGAAGGATGGAGAAGCCACTGGAGTGGACACAGTTTGCACCTATCACCCTGACCACATAGGTCAGGGCCTGGCCAGAGAGCAACTGTACTTGGAGCTGAGCAAGCTGACCCATGGTGTCACTCAGCTGGGCCCCTACACTCTGGATCAGGACAGTCTCTATGTTAATGGTGAGAGATGAGTATTCGCCATTTTTCTTCTGCTGAGAAAACACACCTAACAAACACAACTTAAGGAAAGGAAGGTAAATTTTGGCTCAGGGTTTGACATGGGCAGAGAGACAGGAATGCTGGCTCTCACTTTACTTTCTCCTTTTTATTTACTCCAGAGCCTAAAGCCATGAAATGGTACTACCCACATTCAGTAGGCGTCTTCCCTGTTTAATGAAACTCCTCTGGAAATGCTGTGACAGACACGCTCATGTGTAATCTCATAGGTTGTGCCAAATCCCATCAACCTGACAGCCAAGCATCACAGGCCGCTCACCTGTATTGCTGCTCAGCAAGCCACATGTACTTCTTATCTCCTTTCTATCTGACCCCTAGACCTTCACTCCTCCATTTGTACAGCTTATACCCACCAGAGCTTAGTTACTACCCCAGCAGTGAGTATGATGAGGTTTCAGATGTCACTAAAATTCAAAATTTTCCACCATACACAACCCAGACATTAGAAATGGAGGAATCCTTGAACCTACTGTCTACACCTCACCCTCACCCTCTGTCTAGCCTTGAGTGAGCAAAGATCTATTCCCTGCTGTTGTCCCAGATATAGGCTCTTCCTCTCTGGAAAAAAAAGAAGAGTGGAGTTCACAACCAGCCCCTTAAGGTGCTTTCTCCCTAGCTTTTACACTGGGAGCTCCTACTTCAACATAAAAGGTCATGTTTGAATGTGGATTTCTTTTTCCTTCCTGGGTGAGCTCCATGGCTAAAGGTATGTTACAAACACAGTCTGAAGTAAAATGGGAAATAACATCTTTCTTAAGACAGATTTAGAAACTCGAGTAATTTAAGATGCCCTGTGGCAGAGAGCATAGTTCATGCCCAAAGTTGCCTTTTTGTTGACAGTCTTTCTCTTTCCTCATCACCTTTTTTGTGTTTCTACAGGTTATACCCATCCAGCCTCAGATACCATCCTTAACAGTGAGTATTTCAGACCTCTACATGTCCCTAGCCACCTCCCTTCTCTGCAAATATGAGATGCTGGATGAGCCAACCTTTCTTCTATTATCCACTTTAAATGAGCAGGAGTTCAAAAGGTTCATAGAAATGTAGTCTAAGATACAGAGAATAAGAATCACCCACCCTTCCCCAAAGCACACAACCCAAGGGTGATGCAAATTTCAAACAATAGATGTCATAAAACAAAACACAGATTCTTGGATATAGTCATCCAGGCTACTGCCATTCCTTAAAGATATGTCACAATTTGTATTTCATTCCTCATCTTAGGTTTTTTGTTTTTGTTTTTGTTTTGTCTCAACACCTATGACTACCACATCCTTTCCAGCTTCCTCTCTTGCTCCATCCCCTACAACCAATTCCACAGGTAGGGAGGGATGCATGCTCTTATTGGTACCAATAAGGCAAGCAAATCATTTCATCTCTCAATGTCCATTTACCTTTGCAGTGAAGACTTTGTTTTCTGTTATTCAATCTAGTTACTCGGGATCCAAATTCTGATCCCAGTCAGTACCACAAAGGAATTCCAGAGCATTGGACTACACACTTTCTAGATATCATTCAGGTCTCTTTGACCATCAACTTACATTTTTTTTTCTGTTACTGTGATGAAGTTTTCTGATCAAAGCATCTCAAGGAAGGGAGGAAGGCCTTATTTTTATCTGTTTAAGGTATAGTCAGTCCATCATAGAGTTAAAGTGGCAGGAGTGTGAAACAGTTGGTCACATCACATTCACAATTGGAGAACAGAATCATGAATATATGTTAGTGCTCCAGTGCTCTTTCTCCATTTTATACATGACAGGGTGCCTCACCTATGGAAAGATCCTGTTCAGAGTTATAATGTGTTTTCACATATCAATTTATATAATCAAGATAATCTCCCACAAGCATGCTGAGCCTGTCTCCCAGGTGACACTAGTGTCTTTCAAACTGACCATCAACAAGGACCATCTCAGTCACTCATCCTAAAGATACAGTTGTCCTCCAAACGTTCTCAAAATTACCAAGGGCAGAGGCAGAGTGCCAACCTTCACCCCTCCTCTTGTTCACTTCCCACATCCAACTGTCATCTCATCTCTTGTCCCTTTGGAAGCACTCCCAAGCCTCTTCTTTCTCTGTAGCTACACCATTTAGACTTTATTGAAACCGGCATTATTTTTCCTAGAAAGACTGTAGCAGCTTCTATTCTGGCTTCCTAATGTCTTCCACACAGCAGCTATAGCATTCTTTATGATGTGTTTGTATCTATAGAATTACTTTCTTATAAAAAATATTTGAGTGATTCTATTTGTTCTTAGTCACACCCAAAGCTTTGTGCTACTTAACCATTGCCTCTCTGGAATAAGTTCAGACAGAGGGTCTGGCAAATCTCACACCTGTAATTCCCTCTGGCCATAGTAAAGTAATTTTAAGTTCCTTTAATTTACCAGGCTCTCTTCTCCTGCATGCCCTTATCCAGGATGCCTAAAGTGTTTTCCTTATTGGTTAAATTCTAGCAACTCTTGGCTGTGCTTTTTGTCACATATGAAATAATGCTTTCTCCAAAGAGTTTTTGTTAGTCATTGGTTGGGTCACTCTTATGATTTTCCTACCTGCCCTTCTACTAGCTTCTGTAACATGAATCTTAAAAGTTCTTATTAATAAAAAGACAAACCTGGAGCAGGGTATTGGGGTGAACGCTGCAAGATCAGAGAAGCAGAACAAGCCACAGCTTCCTCACCTTGCCAATTCCTCAGCTGATCCTATTTCCTTAGACTGGAAGCCTCTGAGTCCTCATCCAAATGGATCTCAGATGAACTGCTGCTAACAGCTTAAAAGCTTAACCAGCTCTAGTTCCTGGTTTTCATGCTTCGTATGCTTTTCTACTTTCTGCCATCACTTCCTGGGATTAAAGGTGTGTGTCACCATGCCTGGCTGTTTCCAGTGTGGCTTTGAACTCACAGAGATCAGGATGGATCTCTGCCTCCCAAGTGATAGGACTAAAGGCATGTGTGCCACCATTTTCTGGCCTCTATGTCCATCTAGTGGCTGTTCTGTCCTCTGACCCCAGATAAGTTTGTTAGGATGCACAATATATTGGGGGACATAATATATCACAACAAGCTTCTCCTGAAGTATAATAGTTTGGTAACTTCCCTGGTTTATACATTAGATGATGATTCCCTGTTCATCTTTGGGCCTAAAGTATTTATCACAGAACCTTTCACACACAAAGAAAAGTTCCAATTCTAATGTTTTAGCAGGTCTGAAATGTGTCCTGCTTCAAAATCTACTAGACCAATAATGTCACATAGAAATAGAAGCAGCCTTGGTCATTACCATGTCCCTATTTTCCCCACTGCTACAGACAATGGTACTGTCATGGTACCCATAACTCTCAACTTCACCATCACCAACTTGCACTATACAGAGGAGATGGGAAATCCAGGTTCCTTGAAGTTCAACTCCACTAAGCGGGTCTTACATTATTGGGTGAGTCCTTCAAAGAAACCCACCAACTACCTTACAAATCCCTGGCAAAGCCTCATCTATATTTTTTGCTAACTCTTTTTATTTATTTATTTTTCCATCAGCTTGAGACCTTGCTCAATAAGACCAGCATTGCCCCACACTATTCTGGATGCAGATTGTCTTCACTCAGGTAAGACCTCCAGATGGAGTGATCTGTTGTGGAACAGCCAGCAGAGATCATGTACTTCTAACATCCCATTTTACCATCCACCCTGAGACTCTAACACTTTCTTCTTTCCCAGATAGTGTGTAGATTGAGTTATTAGTAACTTACTAACAGTTGTTTAATGTAGAAAATTCAAGTGTTATTCTACTTAAAATGAGAGTCTCTTAGAAGAACTGGATTTTCTGTATACAGTATAAACAAAATATTTTATGAAGTTCTAAAGAGATGGGTCATTCGGTACAATGCTTCCCATAGAAGCATGAAAAAGTGAACACAACTCCTAGAGTCCACATAAAAAAGGTAGGTGTGGTGGCAAACATTTGTAATGCCAGCACTGGCAGAAAGAAAAACCCTGATTCAACAATAGGAGAGAACTCACTCCTGGAAGAAACAGGCAGATGAAATAAGTCAGTCAGCTTAACCTAACTGGAAACCCTAAGGTTCCAATGAATGAACAATAACAAATAAAATGAAAAATAGTACAGGATGCTGGGCTGGCAAGATGGCTTAGTGGGTAAAAGCATTTGCAAGGCAAGCTTGATGATGAGTTTAATTCCCAGAATCAACATAAATTGCCAGATTTGGTGGCATGCATTAGTAATCCTAATACTCGTACAATGAGGTGGGAGACAGAGAGGAATTTCCCAGCCAGTTGGCCTGGAGTATGCAGTTCATCAGAAAACAGAGAGACCCTGATTCACCAATGTGAGAAAGCAGAATCCTCGAAGCTGCCCACATACTCAGTGTTGCTTGCTTGATTTCTGATCCTCAATGTCCAAAGACTCAGAGGAGACAAGAGAGACCCACTTTTAAACTTTATTACCACCCCCTTCATGATCTTCAGCCTTCTTCCTTCTGCCCCCTGCTTTCAATGTCCCGAGTGCTCAAGAACCGACCTCAGTGTTTCAATCTCTCATGTCTTCCTTCTAGGTCTGACAACTATGGAGCAGCCACAGGAGTGGACATAATCTGTACCTTCCACTCTGACACCATGAGACCTGGGTTAGACCGAGATCAGCTATTTTGGGAGTTGAGTCATGAGACCCATGGCATCACCCGTCTGGGCCCCTACACCCTGGACCAGAACAGTCTCTACATCAGTGGTGAGATCCCACATTTAAGCCATGATATCTCTCTTTTCTCTCCCTCCCCCTCCCCCTCCCTCTCCCTCTCCCTCTCCCTCTCCCTCCCCCTCCCTCTCTCCCTCTCCCTCCTCTCTCTCTCTCTCTCTCTGTCACTTAGATTCTTAGGTTTTGCTGAAGTACTGAGCAATTCAGCCCTCTTTCTAGAATGATTTTCCTTCCTTTTGTGTCTGTGCTCTCTCTTTATTGTGATGACTCAAAAACACCACGGGGAACTAGGTAGAATGCTTGCTTTGAATGAATAGGGATCTTGGTCCCATTAGCATCCCAGTTTCACTTTTCAGAGTCACATCTCAGTTGTTTGGCTCAGAGCGAGGGTAAAGCCTTTGCCTCTGCTTTTACCCCCAAAGACTCCACATTCTCCTTTTGCCCTGATCCTTGATATTCATCCACAAGTCCCTCATATTTTCTTTCTGTGCAGGTTACCATTTTGGAGCTGCAGCCCCAGCAACCACCAGTGAGTATTTCTGGCTGTCATTGCCTAGGTTCTGCCTCCAATTTCAGGGATCCCAAAAATGGTGCTTTTTCCAAAGTTTTTCAATCATTGTTGGATTTTATAGTCATCTCCTGCTAGCTTTCACTTCCCTGGCCAAAAGATTGAAAGACTGTTGTCTGTTAATCTTTGGACCTATAGAGGCTATTGAAGAACCTTGCATACATACACAATAAACGTTACTTGGAAGAATGAAGAAAGGAAGGTCTTAATAACTTAAGAGTTATAGAATATCCTCTGTTTTAGATTCTGTTAGTCTCACAGTATCCCATGGTTATGTCTGGGAATAGCTGTGCTCACTGCTTTGTTCCAGGCTGGGAGCTTCTCTCTTCATCTGCTCCTTAGTCAGTGGTTCAATGGTGGCACTCATCACTCACAACTTCACCATCACCAGCATCCCCCAACACCTCAGTGAGAGAAACAACACCCTCCTCACCTGGCTCCTTGTGTGAGGAAGACTCAGACCCACACACCATCTCCTATCTCACTGACACTTGCATGGGTTCCATTTTAGTTCTTTCACAAACCTGACGTTGTTGTCCTTAAGAAATAAATTAAGGCACAATAACATTTTTTCTTTTAAAGAATTTAATTGAGCAAGTAATAATTTGTGAAGTGAGAAAAATCAAATCAAAGGTGGATCAGGTCTTCTAAAGAAAGACAATGGGGAAGCAATTACAGACAAATTCTGAACAAAGCTAGGAAAGCACTTGGTTATTTGCAACTATGCATTGTATCATTCTTATTTGATTGGTCCTAAAGCTCTTGCTGAATAAGTTATTGGGTGACTTCTAGTTGATTGAGATGGTTTAATTTTGTTTTTCTTTTTCACATTTTTCTCTTCTCTCTCTTTCTCTCTCTCTCTCTCTCTCCATCTTTTATACTGGTACTGATAGTAGAATAAAGGGAGAAAAGAAGAAGGAGACAAAGAGGTTGGGGAGGAACAGGGAGAGATGGAGGAGGGCTGGAAGGATGGGAGACAGGGAAAAGAAAGAGGAAGGAGGTGGAACAGAGGGAAGAGAGGAGAAGATGGAGAAATGGAAGGGAAAGGGGCAGAGAGGAAGTGTAGGAAAGAAAGAAGTAAGTTTAGATTTCCTATGAAAATACTTGGCACAAGAAAATAAAATTTGTGGATTGCTATTCTTGTAGGAGTAAACTGACCCTCTCTGTTTCCCTGTCTTTCCCTGTATTTCTCTGTCTCTGTCTCTATTTTGGTCTGCCTCCCCACCCCCACCTGTGTGTGTGTGTGTGTGTGTGTGTGTGTGTGTGTGTGTGTGTGCATGTGCACATGCGCGTGCACACTGCACTTGCATAAATCTGCATGTACATTTGAGACTGCATTCCCAACAAAATTTGCCAGTATAAGTTGCTCTAAAGAATCCAGGAGATCCAGCTGGGACCTCCCGCTCCCATAAGCTCACTTCCCCCTGACTCTTGCCCTTCATTAAGACCCCTCACTCCAACTTTGTTCATGTAGATTTGATCCATTTCTCTGTTGTTGGGGGATCCCTGTGTCTTTCTTAGGGTCCTCTTTACTAGGTAGCCTTCCTGGAGTTGTGAGTTGTAGTCTAGTCATCCTTTGTTTTACACCTAGTATCCACTTATGAGTGAGTACATACCACGTTTGTCTTTCTGAGTCTGGGTTACCTCACTCAGGATGATATTTTCTAGTTCTATCTATTTGCCTGCAAACCTCATGATGTCATTGTTTTCTCTGCTGAGTAGTACTCCATTGTGTATATGTACCACATTTTATTTATCCATTTTTCAGTTGAAGGGCATCTAGGTTGTTTCCAGGTGCTGGCTAATACAAACAATGCTGCTATGCACATAGTTGAGCATGAGCCCTTGTGGTATGATTGAGCATTCCTTGGGTATATGCCCAAGAGTGGTATAGCTGGGTCTTGAGGGAGGTTGATTCCCAGTTTTCTAAGAAAGCACCATATTGATTTCCAAAGTGGCTGTACAAGTTTGCATTCCCACCAGCAGTGGAGGAGTGTTCCCCTTGCTCCATACCCTCTCCAGCATAATCTGTCTTCAGTGTTTTTGATCTTAGCCATTCTGACGGGGATAAGGTGGTATCTCAGAGTCATTTTGATTTGCATTTACCTGATAATTAGGGACGTTGAACAATTCTTTAAATGTCTTTCAGCCATTTGAACTTCCTCTGTTGAGACTTCTCTATTTAGCTCTGTAGCTCATTTCTTAATTGGACTGTTGGGTATTTTGATGTCTAATTTCTTGAGTTCTTTATATATTCTGGATATCAGCCCTCTGACAGATGTGGGGTTGGTGAAGAGCTTTTCCCATTCTGTAGGCTGTCACTTTGTCTTGTTGACCCTGTCCTTTGCTCTACAAAAGCTTCTCAGTTCCAAGAGGTCCCATTGATTAATTGTTTCTCTCAGTGTCTGTGCTACTGGTATTATATTTAGGAAGTGATCTCTGGTGCCAATGCATTCAAGACTACTTCCTACTTTCTCTTCTATCAGGTTCAGAGTAACTGGATTTATGTTGAGGAACAGAGTGGGAGAACAAGAAAAGAGACACCATGATAAATGAAGACCCCATGGGAATAGGAAGAAGCAGAGTGCTAGAGAGGTCCCCAGAAATCCACAAAGATACCTCCATTATAGACTACTGGCAATGGTTGAGAGAGTGCCTGAACTGACCTACTCTAGTGATCAGATGGCCGAACACCCTAACTGTCATGATAGAATTGTCATCCAGTGACTGGTGGAAGCAGATGCAGAGATCCATGGCCAAACCCCAGATGGAGCTGCAGGAGTCCAACTGGCGCGAGAGAGGAGGGATTATATGAGCAAGAGATGTTGAGACCATGATTGGAAAAAGCACAGGGACAAATAGCCAAACTAGTGGAAAAACATGAACTGTGAGTCAATAGCTGAGGAGCCCCCATGGAACTGGATCAGGCCCTCTAGATAAATGAGACAATTGATGAGCTTGAACTGTTTAGGAGGCCCCCAGACAGTGGGACTGGGACCTGTCCTTGGTGCATGAGCTGGCTTTTTGGAACCTAGGGCCTATGTTGAGACACTTTGCTCAGCCTTAGTGTAGGGAGGAGGGGACTGGACCTGCCTCAACTGAATCTACCAGGCTGGGCTGAATCCCCAGGGGAGACCTTGCCTAGGAGATGGTGGGAATGGGAGTGGATGGGGGGAAGGCTGTGGGTGGGAGGAGGGAGGACAGAGGAATCCATGGCTGATATGTAAAATTAAATTAATTATAAAATAAAAATATTTATTTAAAAAAATCCAGGAGATCTGTCAGAAAGAAGTAACAACTTCTCTTAAAGAACCATAACTCAATTATTTCACTTAATATATCTGGTTTGGGTTGATTCAAAGATGTCCCCAGCACAGAATTAACAACACTGTAATTTTCTGGGATTGGCCAGGTCTGCAGCTGGGAGACTGAAAGTCTTCTTAAATTACCCTATCAGCTTTTGAACACTCATTAGACTTAACTCATTTAGGCACCAGTGAGTTTAACAATCAGTATGTAGAAACCAAAAAAGTAAAAAATTTCCCATCTTCAAAACAGATATTAAACAAAGTAAACAAATGAAAATATGTTTAAAAGACATTAGAATGAGAAGGCTGTGATTTAAAAAAATATATTAAAATTCATGTTTCAGGAAGCTGATATAAACTTAAAGAATTCATGAAAGGGGATATTTTACCTGTGAACACTGTCATTATACTGAATAAAGATTATATACTTTGTAAAGGAATAAATTACACTCAATTATCATTGAAATAATGGTAATTTACCCACAATTCAAGGCATTTGTTACTATAATTCCTAGCAAATTTCCAAAATATAAGAAATAGACAAAAGTGAGAGCTCCCATCTGGACCAGAGGTGAGCGACTGGGTTCATACCCAGGGAGGCCTGCCACTAGATCCCATCCCTCGGCCCTAGCCCTCCAGGGGAAGACCCGACCAACTCAGCTACAGTTGCCTGCCAGCGAGCAGGGCTCCCCAGGAAGGTTCCCCTCCTCTAAGACCCCCGAGCAGACCCTGCAATCTACATGCCCTGCCCCCACACCCATCTACCCAAGACCCCCTCCACTTCCTGAGACTTGGAGACCAGCCCCCAGCTCCCATCTAGCCCAGAGCTCTCATTCAACCCAGAGAACTCCCATCCAGCCCAGGGAAAGAGAAAGCTCTCATTGGACAAAGAGCCATCACTGGACCAAGAGTAAACTCATGAGACAGGGAATCTGCCAGCCCTGATTAGACCAAGAGTGGCTTTCTGAGAAGTAGAATCTGCTACCTCTCATTAGACCAAAAGAGGCTTCCTGAAACACCAAATCTGTCAGCTCTGACTGGACCAAGGGCCCTGATAAGACCAAGAACAAATCTGTAAGTCAGAATCAACTAGAGTGGGTTGACCCAAGAGCAGCTCACTGAGACAAAGAAACTGCCTGCTCCAATCAGACCAAGAGCTAAGATTAGACCCAGAAGGGCCCCCTGAGACACAGACACAACAAACAAAGAGTGGACCAACAGCAACTCACTCAGACACAGGCACCTCTAATACCTATTTGATGAGGAGACAGGCAGACATCAAGGCAAAAGCACTTACAACAACATAAAGAGCAATACAGCATCACCAGAACCTAGCCCTCCTCCAACAGCAAGACCTAAACATCACAAGATGGAAGAAGCAGAAGAAAGCAACCTTAAGAATAGCATCATGAAGATGCTAGAGGCCTTTCAAGAAAAAAATCAAAAATGAAATTGAGGAAAAGATAAACAAAAAAGTGGAGGAAATCAATAAAGAAAATGAGAAAAGGTCAAACAAAAAATGGGAAGAAATCTATAAAGAACTAGAGGAAAAGACAAATAAAAAAAGCAGGTGAAAACAATAAATCCCTTAAAGAAAACCATGAAAAAGCAATGAAACAGGTGAGGGAAACAGTTCAAGACCTGAAAGGGGAA